CCATCGTTGTAATTGCGTATAAAACACTGTTTCAAATCCTAATAAAAGCTTTCAGGCCAAAGAGGTCTCCTTAACTTAAAAAAAAAAATAAAATAAAAGATACTGGGTATTGGGATAAACCTCCTTGATTGATTGGATTATTGAAGGGTCAGAATCAGTAAAGATAATATTGGGGGAAATGCCAGTCTTATTATAAATACTTTCAAATATCCATCTATAAGTGTCCAATGTTTCGTTCTCAATAATAGCACATGCTACAATTCAAGTTCTATAATTGTTGTCAATAATGGTTAAAATACAAAGCATCATCTAGAACCGGTTGGTGTTGTAAGTTGTATTTAAAATTATAACATCACAAAATTTGCTATATATATCTCGTTGTATAGGAAACATTCATAAAAGAGAATTTAATTTTTTTGAAATTGGTTCTAGTCGAAGTTTTACAACCCAAAGAGGCTCTAAATCCTTCTATTCTAACAACAGTTGAAGTATCCACGAAGCATCCAAATTACCTAAATTGTTCTTACACCAAAATTGATATACTGTGTTGTATAAATCATGTTTATGAATTAGATTTTCTGAGTAATCATGCTTAAACAATAGGTAAATAGATTTCGAATCCATTCGACCTTCAATCGCATACTTCTTAAAATCCACTAACATTTCAGCTATTAATTTTCGAAAACATGGAGCTAATTTTTGTACCATTGGGATAAATTGATGATTATGATTTTCAACAAATGTGTTAATTTTAACAATGTTATTGGTCTTTGGACAGGTAACATTAAGTCTCCAAGGGCAGCATATTCACTGAGAAGTAGTATTTCGGTGTTGAGTTGGATCTGAGATAACTTGTAGATTATTTGTGCCTGATTTTATATATTCATATGTAACCCTTCGCAACATACCTTCAACTGTCTCACTTGTTCTAACTTTATAATTAAAACCTTTTTTCAATGCAAATCTATGGAGCTAATTTTTAAATAATTCCCAGCTAAGAAAGGTAAGACCGGATTTCAATTCTAATGGATTAGATTCTTTTGCTTCACTATCATTATGTAAAGTGGTATCACTTAAAATCAAAGAACAAGAAGTATTTATGTCTACATGAAAAGTAGATTCACATTCTATTTCAACGTTATTTGTTTTCTTAGAAGTTTAGATAGCAAAAAAAAGCATAATTAGATACATAACTAGATAGTTGACCGAATTAAACAGTAGGCAGTAGGTGTATCACGTGAGCCCAAAGTGAAAAATATAATATATACTTGAATCTGTGACAAAGAACAAGAAGCATTTATATCCCCATGAAAAGTAGATTCATATTCTATTTCAACATTATTTGTTTCCTCAGAAGTCTAGACAGCAAAAAAAAGTATAATTAGATACATAATTAAATAGTTAACCAAATAAAATAGTAGGCAGTAGATATATCACGTGAGCCCAAAGTGAAAATATAATATATACTTAAAGCTTCGACAAAGAACAAGAAGCATTTATATCCCTATGAAAAGTAGATTCATGTTCTATTTTAACGTTATTTGTTTCTTCAGAAGTATAGATAGCAAAAAAAACAAAAAAACATAATTAGATAGTTAACCAAATGAAACAGTAGAAAGTAGGTATATTACATGAGCCTAAAGTGAAAATGAAAAATATGAGATATATACTTGAATTTGTGATGAAGAACAAGAAGTATTTAAATTCTTATGAAAAGTAGATTTATCTTCCTAGATTGCAAAAAAAAAAAAAAAAAATTAAATAGTTCAATTAGGTATAGTAACTAAAACGAAAAAGTAGGTGTATTATATGAACCTGAAGTGAGGATGAGAAAGATAAAAATCATTTTTCTCATAAAATACATCTTCAAAATTCATATATGTAGTATTTCTTGCTTGTTCAAAAGCCTGAAAGAGCAGAATAGATGAGATATACTCTGAGGAACACAACACAAAAGACAATAAATATAGTTATATAAAGCTGCGGCAACAAAGATGAAAGAGGAGCGTTTTGATTATGAAAATTACTGGTGCAAGTTGAATTATTTTTTGTTTGTCCAGAGGTCTATATAATGAAAAAAAGATATACAAAAAGGTTATCAGATAGTTCAATTAGTGTGAAGTATACAAATAAAACAGCAATTATATCACATGAACCTGAGACAAAGATGATAGAGATGGAAAAGTATTTATCATATAAAATGTATCTTCGTAATTCATATTAGCCATATTTATTGTTTGTTCAGAAGCCTAAAAAAGGCGAGATATAAAAGATACGCTCTGAAAAATATAGCACATAAGTGATAAATACAGTATATGTACCTGAAACTGCGGCAGCAAATATAAAAGAGAAGCATTTAGGTTATAAAAATTACTGGCACAAGTTGGATCGTTTATTGTTCGTTCATAGCCCTAAATAATAAAGACAAGGTAAATAATTTAAGTTTTTAAAAGGTAGGATATAAATAGATGCATACTGGGAAATACAACACAAGAGATAAATTTATATTATTTGGAACTGTAGTGACGAAGAAGAAACACTTAAATCATTAAAATTACTGATGCAAGTCAGATTATTTGTTGTTTGTTCAAAGGCCTAAATAATGAAAGCAAAATATAGTATAAATTTTGAGATTGGTTTTTCTATATATTTTTGTACAATTAAATGGCAAATATTATGAAGCGGTGTTGAAATATCTCACGTGAGTATATGATAGAGATGATAAATAAATATCAAAAATAGCATTAAGGTTTGTATCATCCATTTCAGAGTTTTTTTTCTTGTATTGTATTATTCAAAAAGCACAAAATTCAATAGAGGTTAAAAAGCTAATGGAAGAAAGAGAAATATAAAATACTAATGTCAAAACTAGTATAAGTTCTATTTTTTTTACATACATAATGTTTCAGTTTGTAATTTTTGTAATTGTTACACGATTAACAAATATTTGCATTAATTATGTAATAATCTACATATCCCGTGTACATACACTACGTGTACATACACTATGTGTAAGATTAGATTTTTTCTAATTTTTAATATTAATAATTTTATTTTAATAAAATATTAATTTTAATATATAAAAATTGTAATAACAAATTTGTAAAAATTACTAATTTTGGTTTTGTGTAATATTGTACAAATTTGTGTAACTTTAATTATATCAAAAAGTACTAAATAGAATTTTATAATTTTTTTTTATTTAAAACATACAGTAGCTTTAAAGAATTTATATTTTAATTTTTAGCTTAATATCTTACATATTTAGCTTTGTGTTAATTTTTAAAAAGTGTCCACAATAATATGGTAGGTAACTGTAAGTATACATTTTTTTCAAGTCTAAAATTAATCATTCAAATTCTTTTGGAAAAGGTATTTACTATATTTTTACAAGTTTGATCATAGTGGGTGTTTTCTTTATTAATAATTATAACTTCAGAGAAGTTGTTAACTAAAGACACAATATTGGTACTAAGTTTGTTTTATTTTAGCATCTTGTGTAAAATTTATTTAACCCACTTTACAATTTTTTTTTTTATTCTAAATCTAAAGCACAATCTCTGAAGTTATTATCAGAAAAAAAGTTTCGCCTGTTCTGTTCTGAAAGTAATATACTAAAGTCTTTAATTTCTGCAAAATTGAATATCAAAACAAATTTTATAACTGATTCTGAACTTCTTGGTTGGTTTTTTTTAAATCTTCTATAAGAAGATAGATGCAGCAAGTATCTATGCTTTGTAGGGTTCCTCAAAGTCAAATTGAATTGAATATTTACATATTTGAATTTGATTGAATCGAATAAGCTCTTGATTTGAATTTGATTTAATTAAATCAAATTCAAATCAAATCAAATTTATTTGTAATTTTTATTAAGTATTTTCAAATCGAATCAAATATTTTGTCAATTTGAATTTGATTTGATTTGAAATTTCTGTATTTGAATTTGATTTGAGATTGAATATTTAATCAAATCAAATCAAATCAAATTGCGGAACCCTAATGCTTTGTTATATACTTTTGAGTTAAGAAGTATTTATAACAAATTAAACAACAAAGTTGATCATATGTTATTTGGCTAATGGATAGATAATGAATATTGTAATCTGGAATTTTAAATTTATCAGAATATTGAAGAAGGTGAATAAGGTTAATATAGTGGCTATCTTGGGCTTTGGTAACAGATAGAAGGAAGCTATCAAAAAGCTGAAGAAAATTCATTGCTTCTTGTACTCTAGCAGGTTTGCAACAATTTAGATTATTATATCAAGTAAATACTAATATAAGTTGCAGTGTTTTTCTATTTATAACATGATACAGAGATATTGGAAGATGTGTTGGTTGGTTTTTTTATCTTTTCTTTTTCTTGTTCTTTATAAAATTTATAAATGAATCAGTAGCTTCATCAATATAAGTTGCATTTATACACTTTTCGAAAATAGGATCATAGTACTATATATCATATAGTATTGTACTAGCATAATAAAAATTTTGTGTTGCTAATTCTGTATCAATTATTTTACCTTGACTATCAAGATGATTTCCAAAATGATTTATTGATAAAACGATTTCAGCTAATTTACCAGAAAGTGTAAATATAACTCTTTTGACAAAATTATATTTAGACTGTCTCAGAGTATATATACATATAGTCAAATAGTCCAAATTGAATTTTCTAAATAGCTTGCAATATAACTGAATATTTTTAAAATAATAGAAGTTCTTATTGGGATTTCTATTAACTAATAATATCCAAATAGGCTTTACATTATTGTTTATTTTTGGGATTCTAGAATATTAATTATCAGATACAAGAGAAAAAATATCTTTCACATGAGTAAATGATGCTATATCTATCAAAAAACATAAGTATATGTTTATTTATATTTACAAAAAAAAAAAGTAAACCATTAATAATTTTGTAATTTTGTCTAATATAATTTATATGTAAAAATAAATATTTATATCTTTTTTTTTTTTTTTAAATATTAAGGTGACCACTTAGGCCCTTGGCACTTTATTAGTACAAGCGGTAGGCCAATGTT